GTGCAATGAATTAGTGATTGAAATTTGAATCGTTTGTGTTCATCAGAGGATATTGTAGACGTGATTGTCGAGGGAGGGGCAATTCCGGTTCTCGTTAAGCATCTACCAGCTCCACCGTACGGCGATGGGGATAAGACTCAAAAGCTGTTCGATCACGAGGTCGAGAAAGGAAGCGCGTTTGCTCTAGGTCTTCTCGCAACCAAGGTATTTGATTGTACTCTCCACTCGTGCTGCGACTCGTGGGATCTAGCTGCATTTGTGTGATGTCTTGTTTTTGGAAATGACTGGTTACACAGCCATATATAGTACCAGAAGCTGATAGTAGACAATGGTGGATTGACCCATCTTGTGAATCTATGGTAGAGAAACAAAAATGGTTCTAGCTCTCGATCCGTTATCAGAATGGCTGCGGAGACCATCATCAAGTCCCTTGTTAGGTCAGCTATATTTGAAGTGGTTTCCTCCTTTCAATTTTGTTGGCATTTATTTACTACAACCATTGTCATGATTGCTACTTCTTGGATGAACAGGTTAGAAGGTGGTAGTCCACCTCTTGTGGAGTTGCTTGAATTTGACAATGCTAAAGTTCAACGAGCAGCAGCAGGGGCATTAAGAACCCTTGCGTTTAGAAATGATGATAACAAGAACCAAGTATGTATTTGCTAGTTTGTTACCTACAGCTTTTACTTAGTTTTGGATCGAGAATGATAACAAGTCGTTTCTTGCAGATAGATAGTTGATCGTAATGCTCTTCCAACGCTTATCCTAATGCTAGGATCAGAAGATGTTGCAATACATTATGAAGCGGTAAGATTCATATGGGATTCATTATTTTGTTACTAGCTTATCTACTTTGTGGAATTAGCATCAACTTAATTGAGTTTTCAGGTTGTTGTTATTGGCAATCTAGTACACTCGTCCCTAAACATTAATAGAAGGTCCTTGATGCCGGGGCCTTGCAGCCTATCATCAATCTTTTCAGGTATGTGTAGACTTGCCATTTTGATTTACAAGGTTAAGCATAACGTAGTTGCTTTTACAACAAAGCTGCAGTTAATGCAATTCTCTGATGCTTTTGTTAAGCTGCTATTATGCTTCTACACTGCTATCCTCACGTTTATTGTGGTTGCTTGACGTCTTTTCCTAGCTCTTGTTGTCCTGAGAGCCAAAGGGAGGCAGCTTTGTTACTTAGTGGAGTAATTTGCTGCTACTGATTCTGATTGCAAGGTGCCATTTCATCTCTGGTTTTATATTCCCACGTCTTGTATTTTTGTGGTTTGATTTTAGTCGTGATTTTAGGTAGCTTTTTTAAAACAATTAGTATCACATTCGGTCGAGATTCCAGGCAGATTGTCTGCTCTTGCTAATCTGTAGAATATACACTCCCAATCTCACTGAGCCAATCTTTTTCCCATGATTTATATGATATCTAAAGTGGTAACTTTGCAGGCACACATGGTGCAAAAAGGGGGGGGGGGCTGTCTGCCCTTTGATCGAGATGCTTCAGTCACCTGAAGTTAAGTTGAAGGAAATGTCAGCCTTTGCATTGGGGAGACTGGCACAGGTTATTATTTCTGATATTTTTTGGTGGTTTAGTCTTACGAGTTGAGGATTTCCCTTACGAACATTGTAAACTGCAATTTGGCAGTTTAGCTGTTGCCTTACTTCTAGATCGAATTTTTTATATCATGAGAGTAAACTTGTTAGTCTGTTAGATAATAAATAGTAATCCTGGATAATTTGATGTTTCCCTGGTTGTGTGCTATTATCTTGTTGTTTCTGGATTTCTTTGCGTTCAAGTCCACAAATGCCAATGATTCTGGAAGATAGTTTTCAGCAATAATGAATATCAAAACCTAAATGTATATTATTTCTGTAGGATACCCACAACCAAGCTAGCATTGCCCAGAGAGGTGGTTTAGGACCTTAATTGCAGCTTCTTCATTCAGGAAATAGATCTCTGCAACACAATGCTGCATTTGCTCTTTATGGTCTTGCTGATAATGAGGTAAGAGTTATGTTACCCTCCGCATGTTTTGTCTATCAGGGTTCAAGATATTGACAATAGAACTCATTAAAACGCTTTCTTGATCCACCTTTTCCCTCTCCGATTTTATCAAGGTGGGAGGCGTCCAGAAGCTTCAAGATGTTAAGTTTATTGTTCATGTATGTCTGCCCGTGTTACCCTTTCTCTACTTCCTGATGCTACTTTCCACAATCCACATACTGAAGTCGAGTTACCCTTATACAAAATACAATTTTTGTATCCATATCTATCATTTTCTAAATCAGTTGAGCATATAAAGAATTCAATAGTTGTAAATTTGTGATATTTTGTTAAAATTAAATTCTTCTGTTAAATAGTAATGTTACTCAATCTAAACAACAAATTGTGTGAGTTTCTTTCAAAATGGGTTTCTAAAGGGACAACGAATATTGAGAAATTTTAAAAAATGCCACTTTTCAAAAATGCCACATTTTCAAAATCTTTGCAAAAATCCTATTTTTTCAAAAAAAAAAAAATTATTATATAATTTATGTTTTGGCTAATTATGTTATATTAGAGTTTAGTTTTGAGTATTAAGGTGGTTTTAGGGGTCAAAATATTT